ACTAAATCACCGCGAGATGAAGTGAACTCGAGCGAGTTATCTCGTCCGGTGGCGTGGCTATCCGCCTTCGGCGGATAGCTGGGAACCTCGGGCCCAACTGATGGCCGACGTTCTTGACCTTGTCGAACAGTACAACAAGGAACATCCGATGGTGAAGGGCCATCGGAAAACGAACGCCCAGCGCGCTCGTAAAGGGATTGCAAAGTAGCAATTCCTTCACGCATCTCAGAAAAGATGCGAGCCCTCCACCAGGGCTCAGTAAGGAGGTACGCCTCCTTAGGTGCTCTTGACGAGGTGCTCAGGCACCCCGGGCATGGGTCGCCCCAAGAGAGGCATAACAGGCCTGCCTCTCTAGATAACCGGTGCAAACGATAGCATTCACCGGACGTACTTCGTTTCTCAAACTTATTGCGGCTAGCATAAAGTCTTTGAAACCAAGCCTCTTTCCCAACGTTTAAAACGTTGGTGATAAACGCGTTCCAAGATTGGAGGAACGCGTCAGCCTCACGCTTCTTGTGTGGGCCATACCATCGATGTTCAAGAAATACATCGATGTAATAGTCGTTCTCAGTGCGAAAGTTCTTCGCACTGGCGTCAAGCCATGAAGCTTTGACGCATCAAACAACGGTATGGGAACCGTTCGTTGGTCTTTCCAGACCAACGATCAATCAGATGCTTAGGTAGCATCTATGGCTTGCGATCAGGAGCAAGACGCAATACGTTGCGGTCTAAATCCTCCTGCGTGGTGTCAATAGAAGTACCGACACCACGAGCATTAGTGTCAACAGAAGTACCGACACTATGATTATTGATGTCAGTAGAAGCACTGACATCACCCTTACGGTCCCCACCCGAGTCACTATCCTTCGACTCGTTTGACGAGTCGTCTGATTCATCAGACGACCCGAACATTTCACGGTACATTGATTCACTCAATGTACCACGATCTCTCTTCGTAACACTTGACGACGAGGTATCACCCCGGGGAGAGCCCGGGAGTGACACAGGTGGCTTTGAGTCGGATGCGTCATCCGACTCACCAGAGTAGTCAACGACTAACTCTGGGTCAACATCTTCACGTGGCGAAGCGCTACGTGAACCTGCAACAGGCGTTGCAGGCTGATGATGAATTCCAGCAGACACATTAGTGTCTGCTGGCTGAGGCTGTGAAGCCTCAGTAGCGGCTGCACACAGGCGTGCAGCCGAGCTCTTAGCTGCCTTAGCAGCGACGCGCATTGACTTTGTCATAGCGTAATTGTTGAATGAAAGAAAATTCAACAAGTGCTCCTTTCTTATAGTCACTAAACATCACTAATGTGACTGTTGGTTGAGGGAGGGGGTGATGTAACGGGGTGAGCCCGTTACATAATATTGACACTTATATGAAGTGTCAATTAAAAATATTATTATAACTAATAATATTTTGACAATATTATCTTTACTTATAATATTGTTCCTTGATCTCCTTGAAGTTGGAGATGCCCCTATCATTGGTTGATATGGGCCATTATGTCAGCCAGGTCGCTGACCAATGACCGATGGACGCGCGCAATGAGTGGAGGGCAAGTTGTCAACATACATAGTTGTAGTTTAATATAGTTAACATAGGTTATAACAGATTAGTTTTATTAGACAGTTAACCATATTAAATACAGTTTTCTTTTTCTTCTCAACTAAGCGTTTGTTTAGTTAATTCCCTTCCTCTGCTCACGTGTACGTGAGGTAATTGAGGCACCTGCTTTCACTGTAATCAGTGAAAGTAGACTATACTGTAATCAGTATAGTCAGAGGGTGTCCATTACATAAATGCCTCGTGCTACTAGCACACACCTTCAACACAAGCGAGGAAGCGGTTAGACCGTCTTACCTTCGCGTGGGAGGGTGGATATGCGGTTGGTCGACTGCTTAAGCAGTCGTACCACCAGTTGCCTCTCGCTTAAGCGAGATCGCAACGAACTTCTAAACAAGAAGTCACCGGCGTCACGCAGAAGCTTTTAGAGCTTCTCGTGCGCGGTGCTTTCGATTTAGCAAATTCAACTGAGCTATACTTATTTAATCTATATAATAAAGTTATTGTCCGTCCGGGCGATCCTTTTCCGGCATGTGGATTGGCTAATTTTGCATTATTCGCTAATTTTGGATTGGCTGATTTTGCATTTTGCACGACCATTATTTGAGCTAAGTGCGTCTGGGTACGTGTTTCCTATACGTAAGTAAGTCACAGAACGATGCGTAATTAACCTTTGACCTATCATTACATATTGCTATATCAACACAGCTTATTTATAAATAATAAATAAGACACATGCTTTATAAGCGTTTCAATTCATGGGCTCAGTGCTTATATATTACACTAGAAAGCTGGCAAAAGCAAGCGTTCTCATCAGATTATATCGGAGTTTATTACAATAAGTGATGTGACCCATATGTATTGTATCTGCATTTTGTATGAATTGTTACATGAGGAGATTGTCATTATATAATTTAGTCCATCCCCGAGTGTCCATGTGTCGTACTTTAATTTATAAAAGTAATATACGAAACGATGGCACACATAAATGTTCATATGCATCATTACATATTGCAATATTAAACACAGCATTTTTTTAAATTTATTAGATTTGGCACATGCTTCACGATGTCTGGCTTCAACTAGCGTCATCCCTTCTCATGTGAATCCATAAATTGATATCACATTCACGCGGGTGGATCACATTTGTGTAACGCACCCAAGTGACAGGTCAAAAGTAATCATGGATACTTTTAGACCAAACATTAAGTATATTACTTAATGTTTGCGTGTAACTAGATGCCCTGTTACACACTTCATATAAGTGTCAATATTATTAACCCCGTTACATTTTTTAAACAAGTATAATACGTAGAGCAAATATATCAACTAGACTCATAACGTTGGAAACGTGTTTAAGTTATGAAGTAGGTCACTTTGAAGACTGGTCGAGGCTTGTGAAGTAGCGAAGCCACAAAAGTTCTTCGATCTTCGAAGACTAAGCGTACAAATCACTAATATAGCAGCTTCACTGGGGCAAGCGCACCCTTGCGAAGTACTTGTTCACCTCGCCTACTGACGCCGATTAATATAAACACCTGCAGCTTTTTGTAGCGCGCTTCCGTACAGCGTATTTTCATTCCCTTCTGTTTTCACTATAATCACGCTCAGGAGCACTCTCACGACAGGAGTCTCATCATCGGTCCAGATCTTCAGCATCTTATTTTTCAATTCTTCTTCTAGATGCAAAGTAACATCAGGGTTTTTAACCGTATACAACAGTGTCTTTAAATACGGACGCGAATGCTTCTCCAATATCGAACACATCGATACTTTAAGTGTCTCGTGTACATTAGAATTGTAGTAGGTAAGGTAGCTCGTCCAAAAGGGGAGTAAATGGTTTTCGAAAAGGGTGTCTCCGGCCTTGTCAAGTCCGAGGTTAGTGAAGGCATAATCTAGAGTACGACCTAGCCAAAACCAGAGGTCTCTTATTTCAGCTTCCACTCGCAACGCGACTTTGTCTTTTGGCGCCCTGGTTGCAGCGACCACCAAAGGTCCGATATCATAAGCCTCTAGCAGTCTGGAAAGCATTGTTTGAGCCGGCATGTTGCCTTTGCTGGAATCGCCCATGTACTCTACCCAGTAGACTAGCTGTGGCTGTTCGAAAAGGGTGTCTCCTGCAAACTTAAGCCCATATAAATCGAAAACATCCTCGGGGTCGATATGATTCTTGAAAAAGTACTTGTTCGCTTCTTTAAAGATCGTGGCCCAATCTTCCTTTTTAAAGAGTGACATAACGTCGATGAAAGGCATTTTAGGCTTTTCACCTTCTTTCGTTTCCATGTTCAGCAATTGTGCATCGTTTGCTTTGGCCAAAAAATCATTCACCACAATTTTACGAATCTTGGCGATTTTGTTCTCGGGCTCCAGCATTTCTGCCGGACGTTTTAAGGTATTCGTGATCGTGAAATTGACACACCTTCGATGGGAGTCGAGCTTAGGTCAAATTTTTCTGCCGAACCTTTAAAGGTATTCGAGGTATCTGACGCACCTTCGAAAGGAATCGAGTTTAGATCAAATTTTTCTGCCGGACCTTCATAGGTATTCGAGGTATCTGACATACCTTCGAGAGGAATCGACTTTAGATCAAATTTTTCTGCCGGACCTTCATAGGTATTCGAGGTATCTGACATACCTTCGGGAGGAATCGAGTTTAGATCAAATTTTTCTGCCGGGCGTTTCATGGTATTGGTAATCGTGGAATCTGATGCACCTTCAAGGAGATGCGAGTTTAGAAGCGAGAAATCAATATTTTTAGCCGCATGTTCGAGGTCAGTCGAGCTTACTATTTCTTCGCCAAAGTTGAGGTCATTTATCCTCTCTTCTACGTCTTCGTCACGTGCACGTTCTTGGACCCTTAAGTGCCTCTGAACTTCAAATTGACCATCGGTGGTGACGGCGTCCAACGGCTCTGCATGTGCACCAACACCCACTGGACGGGTAGTAACAGCCCAAAATATCGGGACGCAGGGAAGTCGCATGGTTTTGGATTATAGACGTGCTTGAGGTCTGGTGGTCGAGTTTAGTAATGACAAATGGCGACTGTGAAGTGACTGGGGGTATAGGAGAAACGGTACATTATCCGATGTACATGTAGAGAGACAGGCAAAAAGTAACTGTAATTGTTTACCTAACATAAGGTATATAAGAGATTACGAGCGCATTCGATTTGAAGGTCGTGAAAAGCGGTCAAGCTCAGTGTTTTCTGCTATCAGTACATGCACACACCATACACCTTGAGAAGTTGAGAGTTTGATCGCCATTTGAATTGCTTGACACACAGGCACAGATTGAAAATAAAGTTGATTTGGTATTAACGAGTGAGGTTTGGTTGAAATGCTGATAGTTCTCTTCCACTGAAGAACTACGAGCAGTGTCGTTTCTTTCCTATGACTAGGATATCATGAAAAGACCCAACGGGGTTGAGCACCTAAGCACCGTGAATAACCTCAAGCAAGCTCGGGTTCTCGACAAACTCCTTGAGGCTCTTGGCCATACGAGCCACCTCACAACTGTTCGCGTACTGATGATCGACTGTCGTGGTAAGTGTTAGCATTGGACGCACTTCAACCTTGTCGTTCACAACTACGGCTTTGTCCAAGATTGAACCGATGTTCACGAGCATGGGCACTTGCGAATACAATGGAATAGAAGAGAACGCCATGTCCAACCCCATCATGCCGACGGATGTCACCATACAGCTGCCAAACATGAACGGATCTTTACCCACCTGTGGAATGCGAACACCACAGGCACCCCCAAGCCACCCGAAGACATTACGCATAAGCCGAATGACCCAGGTTGGCAGCAAACTCATGCTTTTGTTTCGGTCCCCCTGGCCACTACACATTTTAGTAGAAACGCCACGCAGACAGTTATCGACGTCCCATCAAGGACACTCTCGTCCATTGATGAGCTGCTGAAAACCCGTTCGTTCTCGTCAAAAACTGTTGCTGACCGAATGTCAGTCATGTACTCGTCTTCTGCGACGAGCACACAGATCTGCTTGACTTTGCCACTACGCAGATCACGCAAGAACCTTTTAGGATCTAGCGTAGGCAACTGAGTTATCTCCGAAGTTAACTTTGGAGGCGCAATCAGATCAAGCGTATAAGCGCCTACGTTTGATCCGTCATTAACCAAGACATTCAACGTCTCGGTTACTTCCTGGGGACTTATTCCCTCAGGGTACTGGGGACTTATTCCCTCAGGGTACTGGGGACTTATTCCCTCAGTGATTATTTCCTGGGGACTTATTCCCGCAGGCTCGATGGAACCTGTTCCATCGACTTCCTCTAGCTGTGGTGGCGCAACCACAGCGAGATCCTCTACGATCAACTCTCCAGTTGATCTAGGATTACCGTGTTGCCGCTTCTGTGCAACCGGTTTACTCTTCGGTGAATGCTGCCCTCTAGGCGAGCATTCATGTCCCGGTCCACTCGACTTATTCGAGTGGTGGACCTTCGGCGCTGCCTGTGCTTGTGCACAGCCGCAGGCAGCTTGCTCCACAGCGTGACAGACAGTCACGCTGAGTTCTTGTGCAGTCGTACTAACGACCGAACCACAAGTGAGGCCATCACACTCACTCGTAGTACATTCACACGCTTGTGAACGCTCCAAGACGTTCATCAGATGGCCATCTGATGAACAAGCGGCAGGCATCTTCACGGTTCGATGCTGCTAGCTGACCCATGGCTCGTACCTTCTGAGTCATGGTAATCCTAGGATGACATTAAATTTGTCATCCAGATCAAGTACGATGAGATCATCATCGTACTTTTTGCCTTTAAGCGTGTAGTGAATTCCCACTACACGTTTCTTTACTGTTACGGATGCGTTAGTTGCAAGGCGAACCGTCATCCTCGTTGGAGGGGTCTCGCGCTCAATATATTTGAGCCTACGATCATCTAGCGATTGGCATCGAACAAAGTTTTTCGAAGCCCCACAATCAACTAGGGTGCGAAGTGACATGTTCTTTGTCACTTCGATCTTCAAGGTGATGAGGGATACCTCATCACTGGGAGCGGCAACACACAGTGACTATGTGTTGGGAGCAACCTTCGTCAAGAGTCCCGCGAACTCTCTTGACGTTGCTGGATCAGTAGGGCGCTCCGCCCCTACTGACCCCGACCGTTTTTTGATGGTACACCACGTTGTTGCGAAATCGCAACAACGTGGGACCCACGTCTCTGGCCCTTCTTGGCAGACGGACGATCGTCACTCCCAGTGTTACGAGACACTGGGCGTGGGGCACTACACTCATAAGCGTAGTGGCCCAGCTTTTGACAGCGATTGCACTTTTGCAATCTCTTGTACCCTGGAGAGCGAGGCCGCTCGCTCTCTACATAGGAGAGGTCCATTGGTTCTGGACCTTCGCCCTCCTGTCGTTTCGGTGGACGATAGGACCCCGAGTGGACGTGAGCCTGTTGCAGGCTAAAGTCCTCCTGTTCCGCTGCAGAGATCGCTTGATCCAGCGATTCTAGTTCCAAGCGGAACAGATGGGTCTTGACAGGACCATCTGTCAGACCCTTGATGAACACAGTAACCTGCGTGTGTTCATCTATTGGGTTCAGTACGATACAGCTAACGAGGTATCGTACGTGCTGGGCGTAATCGTGTATATCACGCTTACCCTGTTTCAGATCCAGGAGCTCAGACCGAGCCCTGAAATCGGCGCGAGGCGGTTCAAACGTGTGTTTGAGCCGCGCCTTGAAGACATTATACGTTTGGAAAATGTATGGGTCATGCAGTTTGAGCCCTAAGGCCCAAGCTTTGGCACGTCCTGCCAAGTTCGACATGACGAACTTGACCTTCAACGCATCGTCATCGATGCGACGAGCTTCAATGGCATCGTCGAGTTCGACGAACCATCTTAACAAGGAGTCGCTTTCAATTGCCTTGTACTTGGAGATATCAATCTTCAAGGACTCGGGTCGACGTGTATACGTCGACCCGGCAGCAACAGCACTAGCCTGCTGTTGTCTCAACAGTTCAGTCTGTTGAGCACCCTGCTTCATCAACAAGTCAGGTTGTTGAGCGCCTTGTTCTCTCAACAGGTCAACCTGTTGAGAACCTTGCTCCTGTAGCAAGGTGAGTTTCTTTACAACTTCGTCAAGTTCATGTTGTATGAACTTGGCGATGGTTGCATGTTGCTCATCTCCTACCAAAGAGAGTAACATTGCACCGACGGCGGCATCGTCGATGGTTTCAGCCATACGCTGAGCCGCATTCCATTCGAGGTCACTCAAATGGCGGAAATCATCACGCGTTGCGTGATGACGATCATCACCCGCTGATTCATAGCGGATGTTGCGGTGGTCGCTGAACGGACCACAAAGTGCTACCAGGTGTAATGGGGCACCCTCCGACTATACTGATTACAGTATAGTCTACTTTCACTGATTACAGTGAAAGCAGGTGCCTCAATTACCTCACGTACACGTGAGCAGAGGAAGGGAATTAACTAAACAAACGCTTAGTTGAGAAGAAAAGGAAACTGTATTCAATATGGTTAACTGTATAATAAAACTAATCTGTTATAACCTATGTTAACTATATTAAACTACAACTATGTATGTTGACGACTTGCCCTCCACTCATTGCGCGCGTCCATCGGTCATTGGTCAGCGCGTTGGTTGATATGATGGCCCATATCAACCAATGAGAGGGCATCTCCAGCTTCAAGGAGATCTAGGAACAATATTATAAGAAAAGGTAATATTGTCAATATATTATTAGTTATAATAATATTTTTAATTGACACTTCATATAAGTGTCAATATTATGTAACGGGCTCGCCCCGTTACAAGTACAAATTGACTTTAATTTTTATTAATATACTTGAGTCAACAGGATATTCTAAGGCAAAGTGATGGGATAATAAACTGTCAGCGTATAATTTGCGCACCTATTCGTCGGACCTTTCCGTCGCAACGACCGAAATACACCCAATTAATTTTGCACTAACGAAAACAGATTCTGTAAGCAGATTTCCATCACTATTATTTAGATTTTTTATTATATAACAGGTCTAGCAATAAAAGTTGTCGGACATTCATCTATAGAACTGGGTATTATGACTGAATTTGTTATAGTAAGATTTATATAATAATTCCGTCCATCATGCTATGAATTTGGAAATTGATGTAACGACGGGTACACATTGAACTTTATACCAATCACATAACTTTACTCAACCAAATTTGTTAAGGTAAAAAGATGAATATGAAAATTTTCAGGAATCATGTCCGCCGAAACGACGAATACACAATTTTACGAAGTGCCCCATTAATTATGCTTATATACTATCAGTGAAGACCTCGCACGCATGTCCGTCGGAACGACGGGTGAACTGTAGACGGGCACTTCTACGAAGTTGCCTCGTGCTACTTAGCACACACCTTCAGCACAAGCGAGGAAGCGATTAGACCGTCTTACCTTCGCGTGCGAGGGTGTTTATTTGGTTTGTCGACTGCTTAAGCAGTCGTACCACCAATTGCCTCTCGCGTAAGCGAGAGTGCAACGAACATCTTAACAACAAGTCACCGACGTCACGCAGAAGCTTTTTCAGCTTCTCGTGCGTGGAGCTTTCGATTTAGCAAATTCAACTGAGCTATATTTAATGAATTATAATTGAATATAAACTTAACTACTGATTGGCTAATTATATATATATAGATCGGATACGCGACTCTTTAGAAGCGTATCCTGTCGCATGATTTTAAATATAGATTTAAGATCGCAACTGACGTCCTTCTGAGACGTCGCGATGCCTAGCTTCAACTAGCGTCATCCCTTCTCATGTGAATCCATAAATGGATATCACATTCACGCGGGTGGATCACATTTGTGTAACGCACCCAAGTGACAGGTCAAAAGTAATCATGGATACTTTTAGACCAAACATTAAGTATATTACTTAATGTTTACGTGCAACTAGATGCCCTGTTACACCATCCCCCCTTTTAGAACGATTTTTACATTTTGTATACCATCGCCTAGGCCTGCGAGCCGTTGTAAAACGTGCCGCTTAGTCTACTCGATTCTCATGCCACCGAAACGTGGTAAGGCTGATGGGTCGCCTGCAAAGGCGCTCATGCAGTCCAACACTAAGCGCACGCACCGCGATTATTCGCAGCCGTCGCAAAGTGCTTCAGGCACTAATTTAAATACTATAATGTGGATGAAGATCCTTCTCTCATTGTAGACTACAATGAGAATACGCCATTGTCATCACCCCAAAGTGGAGATGAGCAAAGCACATTGATGAAACATATGTCCCCTCATTTGAGGCACCCGTCCTTGAGGAAGCATCTATGCTTCCTACAAGCGAAGGTAAAACCCCGTCGTCTGCGCCTACGAGCGCAGCGACTGAGACTGAGCACGCTACTTCGAAAGGAGTAGTCGCGACTCAGTCAGATGTAACTTCTCATGCTGATGTCTTGACAATCCATAATGGAGAGTCAGACTCAGGTATTGTGTGAGCTTAAAGCTCCATCAAGTACACCTTCGGCCTCACTAGCCCGCCGTCGCGAGGTCGGCTCCGTGAGTGGTGGCTTGCCACCAATGCCACCTCCATCCGAGTGGATAAACTCGAAGGGTCTAGTGCAGCGCTTTTGCAGCGTGCCACTATTGACGCTCATAAGTTTTATAGCGTCTTTCCCTTGTGGAAAAAGCAGGACAAAGCACTTGATCGTGCTTTCCCAATTCCAGTCGTGTTGTGTTATAACTAAACAACCGACGAATACGAAGCAGAATTCCTGCGCCGTGTTAAACCGCATGCAGAGTAGTGAAAAAGCGGTTGCAGCGAATCAGCTTCGTTATAACGCGTGCGCATGAAATCTTGGGTGGTAAGCGACCCCCAATTGATTCTTGCTACGCTTCTTCTGCTAGTCCATCCGGACCCAGCAGAAAGAGTGAAGCTGATTCTTCTGCTCATAAGCATCCACCAGCCCAGGCACGTCAACGTGCAACGCATCAGTTTGTTTCCAAGAGTCAAAACGATTCGGGTATCACTTCCACTGTACCAGGATTTGAAGCTTTCGCTTCACAAACCGGTGGGCCAACAGCCTTTCAACAAGGAAGGGCGTGTTCCCTTCCGCGTCCACCAACACAGGTGGCGCCCGATAGGAGTGGCGATTACGCCCACCTACTGGCGGCTGACTATACTGCTGCTGTTCATTCGCATGCTGAGTCTGCTGCGCTGAAGAGGCAGGTGGCAGATCTCGAGAGTCAAGTCTCGCGACTGAACTCGGATCTGCGCGATGTGAGGACGAGAGACCGTCAGGGGTATGACCGTCTGAAACTCCGTTTGGATCTGTTGGAGCGACTGGTGATGAGAGACCCGCGTCAAGCGCGGAGTCTTCCTCGATCGCCGAGTCCTCTATCGCCTCGTTCGTATACGGGGAGCCTCTCGGCTTCCTCGTCGCCTGGTCGGCCGAGACGCTCGACTCACCTTCGACGTCACCATCGGTCTCGTTAGACCGATGTGGATATGTGATCTCTTCTGGATCAACATACCGTTTCAGACTACCCACGTAAAATACGGGGTTCGTCTTCATATACGGTGGGAGAGTGAGCCTATAATTTAGGTCTCCAACTTCTTCAACCACTGTAAAGGGCCCAATGAATCGGGGCAATAGCTTAGTAGTACCACCAGGTAGTACAGAGATTGCATGTTTAGGTAGGGTAGTAGTACTTAATAGCACTTTTTCCCCCACACTAAAGTGTTCATTGTTTTTGCGACCATGCTGGTCTGCATATTGTTTTTGCTTGTCCTGTGCGCTTGCCATCGCGTCACGGACTTTACGTGTGATGGCTAATCGCTCATCCACAAAGCGCTGAGCTTCGCTCACGCTTTTAGCATCCAGCTCGCCTATGACGCCTCGAAGAGGTCGTTCATGGGTCGACGCTGTTGATAACACTATAGTGTCATCATCAAGAAGCACTGGCATTTCTTGCCGAGCCTCCTCTGTGACACCTATAGGTGACGTGACCACTGCTAAATTAGCAGTGTCACTAGGGCAACCTTGGCCCTCTTTGGCACTCGCACCAAGCGAAGTGAGAGGCCCTCCCCCACTAAGACTCGGGCTGCGTACAAACGAGACTGGCGTTCGAGGATGACGCAGTCCGTTAATGTAAAACGGTGTTTCACCCGTACTGGCGTGAACACTGTTATTAATAGCGAGCTCCACGAATGGCAATTGCTTGCTCCATTCTTTGGGAGTCGCTATTGTACGCAACACATCCGTCACGACTCGATTGGCCCGTTCTGTTTGGCCATCGGTCTGAGGATGATCAGCGGTTGACATGTGGAGCTTGCTTCCCAGCCGCTCAAACACATGTCGACAAAAACCCGACGTAAAACGCGGATCCCGGTCCGATACTATGGACTCGGGCATACCGTGTAGTTGATACACATGATCCAGAAACAAGAGGGCAGCCTCTTTTCCTGAGATCTTGGTGCTACATGGTGACAAATGCACCATCTTGCTCAGTCTGTCTACAAAGACAACGAGCCCCGTCCTGCCTTGATGGTCAGGTGGTAAGCCAAACATGAAGTCCAAACTGACCGACTTCCAACAATCCGTTGACATCGGCAATGGTTTCTATAGCGCATTGCTAGAAGGTGCAGGCTTTATGCGCTGACACTCTTTGCAAGAGCGAATATAGTTGTCCACCCATCGATATAGGTGGGCCACCAAAATTCCTCTGACACTCGTAAGAATGTCTTTTCACGGCACAAATGTTCACTAGATGGCGCATCATGCTACTTGTGAAGTATCATCAGCTTGAGATCTGTGTCATGAGGGACATAGATTCTCAAGGGATCACAGGGTGATAGTTGATGTCATAATAGGCCATCACTGTGACTAAAGCGATTTAGTTTCACTTTCAGGTGGTAACCTTTCGTCCACCAAAATGATCCAACAGCAGGCGACAATGTTCTTTCTGACTGTGACACTCCTTTATATCGGAGGCCATTGAACTCGTCACATGGTAGACCTTCATGGCTGCCAATGTTGACGACTCAGCTTGTGCTTTCGCACGAGACACACTTTCCTGGTGCCTTGCCTCGAAGTCTGGTCTGCGCGATAAAGCGTCAGCCAAGACATTCGACTTGACCGACTTATACCTTACTTTGAGGTTAAATTCAGCGAAGAACGTTATCCGTCTTGACATCCTAGGTGAGAGGCGCGGTGAATTTATAGCGTTCCGTAGTGATGCGTGATCCGTATAAACCACAAAAGGTTCGGTGCCCAAGAGGTGCACACGAAACTCAATAAGAGCATACTCAATTGAAAGTAATCTCTGCGGCATGTAAAAGCCTAGACTGATACGAAATGACACGGTCAATGCCGCTGTCATCCTTCTGCATGAGCGTGCTGCCGATTGCAAAATTGCTTGCATCGCAGAAGACGATACAGGGCTTATCCGCGTCTGGCAATGCCAAGACCGGTGCCTCAACAAGAGATTGCTTTACTGATGTCAACGCATCTACTTGCTCCTTTGACCAAGTCCATTCTGCATCCTTTTTAAAAAGGTCAGACAATGGCTTAGTCTACTCCGCATCATTCTTGCTGTACGTATGCAAGTTGTTAGCGATCCCAAGGAATTGGCGCAGATCCTTCACGTGTCGGGGGACTGGCCATTCCTTGATAGCCTATACCTTTTCTGGGTCTGCTCGTACACCATGTGTACCTACGTGCGAGCTTAAACATTTTCAAGCTCGCTGATGACATCCATCTGTGACGTCATCATGACGCCTAGTCTTAACTGGGCGTCATCATGACGCTTTGTCTTAACTGGCGTCATCCCCTTGAATGTGAGTTCATCAATGGATTAAAAATTCACGAGGGTGGGTGCCTTAACGGGGAGGCCTAAAAAGGTACGTATGTTTTTTTAGACCTCCCGTTAAGGATTACATACTTAATGGGTACGTATAACCAACCTCCTTAGATCCGCCGATCCGGAAACACACACAATCCGACTAGGGCGCAACCATCTATAATTTCTGTCGATATGTAAGACGCGATTGTGCAAGAGTGGAATTGACTCAAAGCTATTACATGTTGTTGCATATGTCGTGTTGCCACAAGAGTGTCAACAAACTGAAAGACGCAGCCAATATTCTATATGGAGCTACTATAATGTGACAATTGCTGTAAAACCAAGGCTTCTTATGAAGCTTTTTCTTTCATCCCATGATCTCGGTGAATTAATGTGTCTTAAAGCACAGACCACGACATTTCTCGCTTGCATCATAAAGAAAACGCTCAAACTGCAGCAAAGACTCCTTTTCCATCATATCTCCTCCATTTCGTGTCATAACTTTGCGAGTAAAAAGCTTTTGTACTAAACGCGCCTGGTCCTCTGAACCGATTTCCATCAAAAGGCAGTTTTTTGTCGTGTGATGTCCCAGCACTCCTTCCCCGAATCCTTTTACACGCTCTGCGTGGTTTTTGAAGAGGTTATCAACACTCTCGTACAGCAATTGGTACATTCGTAACCCATCGGGGTCCGCTCCAGTGTCTTTACGTGTGGGTCCACCATCCGGAAACAGTGCGAGATGTGGTTCATACTCGAGCACATCAGGCTCTACAAGATGAAGTTCTCGACGTGGTATGTACGGAGGGTTGCACAAGATAACGTCAAAGCGTTGGTACATGGCTTCATCATCATTTTGAAGCCCCGGCAGCGTCTGCAAGTCTCGAAGAACAAAATTGCTACGACCATCTAAGTTGTGAAAACGGGCATTCTCTTTTGCAGCCTCAAGAGCACCTAGAGATATGTCGATTCCAACTCCAGTAGCACGCGGGAACTCGGACAGCGCTGAGAGTAGTAAACAACCGGTGCCTGTTCCAATATCCAGAATCTGCAGTGGTGTCTGCGGGTGAAATTGCTCCTACATTGTTTTTAATCACGACACATTTTCAGAACAAGTGTTTCTTGTCTTCTTTTCAACGCTCTCTAGCTATTCTCTCACCACCAAAGTTTCAATTAGTACTTCACTATCACTTCGTGGAATGAGTGTGTCTTTAGTCACTCGAAAATCCATTGACCAAAACTCTTTTTTACCAATAATGTAAGCTAGAGGTTTACCCTTGGCACGTTGTTCCACTGAGACCCTCAACTGTGCAGCCTCCAGCTCGGTCAACTAAAAATTAACATTAATAACCTATTTTTAAACCATTTCACCCATTTTTGTGCATTGTATTGCGCTCGTACCTTTCGTTCCCCATGAAGAAAGACGTCGTTGCTAAATGGGAGTCGTGGCAGCAAAGCATTGGCTACCAGCGCTTTGGCGTCATTGCAAGCTGACTTAGAGACGGAGGAGGAGGTTGCTAGTAAAGTGAAAGTGTGGCTTAGAAGCTCACGGATTTCTTGTACAGCTTTAGAAATTGTTTGTTGATTATGGACATTGCGTCGCAAGGTAGTGGCAGATCTCGTCCAAAGAGTACGGCGATGCATTCTGGTTAATTGATCTACTAAAAAGACACGTCACTATAGAGAGGGAATCTACGAAAGTGTTTGATGAAAGGCAGGTGTGTCATTCAAGGGAATTTCTCGTAATTCCATTTACGAAAGTGCCAGGCAGGCGTGTAAGTAGCAATTATACTAAATTTGATTGGTAAAAAGGCTTATTATTTTCTTGTAAGACTAGCATCATGACCAATCAAATGTTACCAATTTCTTGCGCCTGAAATAAAATAATTTTAATTATCTTAGGTACTGGTAGGACCCATTTTAATTATTGTGAATAATTGCGCATTTTTGAAACTAGTATCGACAAAGGTACTAAAAAAAATAAAATCAGCGTCATGACTCTGGCTCGTTAGCTTTCGACTAGATAATCACTGCTGTTTTATGACTGACGAGTGTGCAACAGCATCTACACGTGGGATACATTTGCTTCAAATCTGCAATCAACTTGGTAACATCATTCTCCCATGAGCGTGGCGATCTGTTGCTTTTGGATGTGGAACAACATATGGACGTGTTGCCGGAGATAACGGAACTTATACAGGAAGTAACGAGCGACAAAGTTCATGTTGGCGATCGTGGATTACTTCTTTTGGACGAACAAAAGGAGAAGCCCAGATTGCTGATCTGGAAGAGTTGTCATTTATTGAAGGGAATAGGCAACGCACTTGCCTCCAGCATTGGAATTCGGAAAAAGCTCACGCTTCTGTCAACGCGTGATACAACCAAAGTCCTACTTTAATTGCATGAGCTCTTGCTGCAAATCAAATTGGGCCTCGATACGCTTAGCTTCAAGTACTCGCGTTAATTCGATCTGCAAAAATCAGAGAAGAGATTCACATTGTGAGGTGAGGTCGCATTTTCCATGATATAATCCCTTACCTTTTTCTCATTGAGATAATGGTACGCCTGCCAGTGTGACTCCTGTAGCACTTCAACTTGAGAGATACTCAAGCTTTCGGTAGGCTCAAGCTCACGATCACTGACCGATGATGCAATAAGAAACTTTTCGACGTCAATCTCTAACTCGGCTGCAACAGGGAACGTTCGGTGGAAGCTTCCATTCATCATGTCGTATGACATGATCGATCTTGTTGTCCGATCAGCATCCTCATTCAAAGCCATTTGGCTATGCTGGGGTGCAAACATGAACGCTTTTGTCGGTTTAGGGGAAGGTTGGCTTGCCCTAGGAACTTTACAGGCTGTTGCTGTGGATGATGCTGCTATCGAGTGATCAGAATTCACCTCCAGGGAAAGGACGGTCTCTGACTTGGGGGTGATTTGTGGCTTCTTTGCACTTATGTTGTTGTTAGCAAGAAGCCTGTGTTGAGAGCTTTTGGTGTTCCGCTGTCGTAGAGCTTCTGCGTTTTTGCTTGACAGTTCCTTGCGACCTAAGAGCACAAGCATTATACTTCCATCAACTATGCTTGAGTTGCACAAGTATACAAAACTCACGATTCTTGGGAATAACAATTTGCCAGGGGCCAGCATTGTTTTCAAATTCACGGTCGTCGACTCCCAGCACGTTATGATCAGTTGCATTCGATTGTAGTCGGGCTTCAGCACTTGCAGGATCCAATACAGATGATGCACTTATCATCTTGTTAGTGTTTTCAACAGTTTCGCCATCCAGCTCTTGTGATGTAGAGGTCTCGGCTGACGACTCCTCAATTGTGTTCCTCGTAGCCTGAGCTTTCTTCTTGTTCTTTCTGTTCTTCTTTTTGCCAGTTTTCTTCCCAGTGGTCTTTGCGCGATCCGAGGCACCCTTAACTTCATTCGCCGCCAACTCCATCAACTCTTGCTCCACCTTGGCGCTCATTCGAGCAGCTTCGATCTCGTATTGAGCCCACTTTTCGCTCAATAGATCCTCTATCTGCGCAGATACCACTGCTGAAATCTGCTTACTCAAGTCCAGCGCCGTATTTCCAGCTTTATTTCGCAAGGTAATATCAATGTTTCGTGCGTTTGAAATAAGAGACGCTACCGCAATAGGGTTTTCACTCAGCACAGCAATGTGCAATGCCGTGTTGCCAGCCTTCTCCACGGCATTCACATCAGCTCCATACACAAGAAGATTTTTCACGATAGAAGCACTTTGCTCCATCATTTCATCGATACTCGGTGCGCCAGGGCGTGGATCTTTGCCAACGCGTGCAGCGCACATGAGAGCGTTCAGTCCACTCGCATTGGCTGCGCTCATGCTAGCGCCCATCTCAAGAAGTAGCTGCACTGCCGTCATTTGTTTTGCCACACAAGCCATCATAAGCGCTAGAATCAGTATACAACGTCAGTCTCATTTTCCACATGGCACGCTTTCAACAAAAAGCAATTAGCTACCAGTGTCTCCATGGGCATTCATCTGGTCAATGATTTTCTGCACCTTGTGCCTTCTTTCTGCAGTAGCAACCAGCTCTTCCATCACCAGAGTCTAGTTAGTGCAAAAAAACATCATGTTAGCTCTTCTACTCAATACACAAGGTATGTCAATTCATACCGTACGTTCTTAGACATGGCAGTCAAATGCAGTACAGTCGTTCGATTAGTGACAGATCCGCAGTCAAGTGCCGTAGTTCTATCGACAATGAATCCCACAAGGTCGTTACGTCCTGGAAATATTTTTACAGGTCCACAAGACACAAGACAAGTCTTAAAACACAAATATATGTCGTCAAGAAGGTGAATTTTAACGTACCGTAGGCACAGACACTCATAAGAAGGGTATAACCCATGACATTGGGTCGATCAAAGTCAAGATTTTTATTAGTAAAATACTGAATGCATTTTTCATAGTCGGCAAATTCCACGAGGCGATGGGCAAAAGCCTGTGCTTTTTCCATCGAGTCCATTTTGATGATGATTAATTTATACAGTTCAGATTTTCTGTAGCTACGTTGCTCAATGACCAATTAAAATAGTTTGGACTTTTAAATCGTACATAGTTGGATAGGAATGACTATGATTATTGTATGAAAGGGTAAAGATGAGCTGCTCGGTTTAGTCACAGGAAAGTGCAGCACTGTAAAAAGTTTGTAGAATTAAGTAAAAAAAAATGTGACGAGTACTTTGAGCACCTAGTTAGCTGATAGATGGCTACATTGCAGCCGATTGGCTGGTGATGTTGAAGTAGATGGGCTTGAATGTAACCTGGCTAAATGGCTACAGTCGATTTGAAGTCATGAACCGTGAGCTTAATGGACTGCTAAAAAAGTTGAGTATGGGTGTAGTAGGATGGAAGATGATGACAGTAAAATTAAAAAGAAGGACAAGACCAATGACCAATTTTTCACGAGCTGAAAACGAGGACCGGCGGAAGACGGCATCATTTGAAATTAAAGACTCGCGCAGGTGTGATTGGGAATCTGATGATGGATGGTTGATACGCTGCAGACGATACAAGACAATGATATGGCGGCGACGAAAAGAGGCAAACACCCTCGCGAGATTATTGAACGGGAACGGTAGATTCATGGAAGAGATGCGACTGGCTGGTATCGACATTGCAAACCCTACGAATGCTAAATGAAGAGCTGCAGCAGCAAGCCATGATGATTGAGGGTATCGGCAACCATATTTATACCACGCGAGCGCATGGTAAGAATGCAATTCATCGTAATTGTGCGCTGTAATGCGTATTAGCACTGATCCCATCCACCACTGTTTTCGTAGTGAAAGGTGTTTACAAAAACATGAAAGACACGCTGTTGAAGGTCGGTTGCAGTCTAGGCAAATGCATGATGGACATGATTTGCCTTATCTGCTGCTCGGAGTCTTCGCAGTTATCTACAGGTTGTTAACAAGAACCACTAGTGACACCACAACATGACAATAAATCACCTGAAAGCATACCAGATTGCCTGCCAAACTACTTAGCAGGATCAAACCTGCTCTTCATTCGGCAGAGTCGTTTAGTGAAGTAGTTCACAAGAAATTGATAAAGTACCGTAGGAGAAAAGAAGTACGCACGTCCATTCCAGTTCGCCAAGATTTCATAAATTCTGCATTTATGCATCGCTCTCAACTTGTTGCCAGTTTCCACATCACCACAGCTTTACCATTGTATGTCAACTGTAGCTCATGCAAAATTGTCCATACTGTGTAAACTTTGCAGTGAGACTTGGCATTTCTCAACGCGATTATCCTACAAAAAATCAAGTCCAAACTTTGGCTTTCTTCTGACTCATGTTAAGATCACTATTATGGTCCATAGATTGATCGTGGTGGAGGTCCACCCATGCTACTTGGTCCAGGTGGCCCTCTCATGCCTATACCTCCCATCAGTGGCGGTCCACGCGGAGGTCCTAATCACAAAAAGATACACATTAATTCTTAGACATCATCTCTCCCATCATTCCTTCTCTGCTCTTCTAGTACTTGCCTCGAAACATGGGCGGTCGCATTCCTAAAGGAGCCATCATGCCTCGGGGAGGGACACCACGCGGTGGATATCCACCGGGCATCCCGCCATTAGGAAGTCCACTGGGTCGAGGAGGCAATGAACCAGACAGTGTCGGTCCGCGTAACCACTCACCAGCTATAGCAGCAAAAGAGAAACGTCAATAGTGATAGTAAATGTGTCTTATAGCACGACGTACGCGTCATAACGACGCCCTGTCCAGCCAAGAATTGCTCATAATAAAGCTTGACATTTTCACGATGTTTCCAGCCGCGATTATGCTGTTTACGACCTGCTTGCTGTATATGAAAAGAAAGAGGAGATACAGATAAGTTTGATACAAGCGATTGTAGCATTGTAATCGCTCTGCTATGAGAGATACACACCGAATCATGCGTGAGGTACGTGTCACAATAGTCGCAATAGTATCGAGGCATTTCAAATGGATTTTGTGTACACATTGTGTGGAACGGTAGTATACACGACGTACCGTTTTTGATACCACCGATATGTGTAAAAGCCAGGGCAACTGCCTTCCTAGCCAGTCGTTTTCAAGTCGGTGAGTCACTCAAGATTTCTCGGTTTCGTCGACTAGCTGTTGCTGTCTTGCAGTCTTCGCTTCCGTCTTTGAAAGTCTTAGCTCCTATAGTCACTACCATGTCCATCTCCACTGAAGCAACAAAACAGTGGTTTAGTGAAACTGAAGCCATGTGGCCTGGTCAGAAATTCTCGATTGAGATTGAGCAAGTGCTTTTTAAAGGCAAGTCCGATTTCCAGGATGTACTCGTCTTCAAGTCAGCCACGTACGGTAATGTACTTGTGCTGGACGGTGTGATTCAACTCACGGAACGCGATGAGTTTGCGTACCAGGAGATGATTACTCACTTGCCCATGTTCGCACACAAACAGCCTAAACGTGTGCTCATTGTGGGTGGTGGTGATGGTGGCGTGCTGCGTGAAGTCACAAAGCACGACTGTGTACAAGAGGTTGTCATGTGTGAGATTGACTCGATGGTATGTGACGTATCCAAAAAGTTCTTCAAGGACACAGTGGCCACGGCCTTTGATGACCCACGGGTTACGCTACTGCACGCCGATGCTGCCGTCTACCTTCGTGAGAACAGGAGCGACAAGTTTGATGTGGTCATTGTAGACTCATCGGATCCAGTCGGACCCGCTGAGGTCCTTTACCGCGCTGAATTCTACGAGAACATGAAAAAATCGCTGTCTCCTGACGGAATTTTCTGCACACAGGGCGAGTGTTTATGGCTGCATCTTGACCTCATCGTAGACGTCATGACACGCTGCCAGAACCTTTTCTCCTCAGTCAATTACTCGTACACGACAATCCCAACCTACCCGTCTGGTCAGATCGGCTTCATCATGTGCTCACTTGACGACAGTGAGGGTGTGCTGATCAAGCCGAAGCGCTTGCCAGATGCCAAGATGGAGCAGACCCTGCGGTACTACAATCCCAAGATACACGAGGCGTCGTTCGTGCTGCCTAACTTTGCTGAGCGCAAGATTACCACTGTACGCAAGTGACACTCTTAGCATGTCACCGATACCGTATCAATTTACCAATCCAGAACTTCACCAACTGTGAATAGAGCGAATGTTTAATGTCCAAAGCCTACGAGTTATCTCCATTCACGCGTCTACTACCTGCCTTTAGCTTGTCACGACATGAGTAGGCGCGGAACTGCAACTGGGCACGAACAGTGTGATCTTATCGACTTTCCAGCAGCAATCGGGCGTCTGCTCCTGGATGTGCTTCCAAATGTACGGCACGAAAAACTGCTCTGGATCACTCTCCTCTTCATATCGGTAGCTCGTATCGTCATCGTCGACCAACCTCCTCGCATTTGTACAATCTCCTGCTCTTGATCCAGCACTTGATGCTGCCAAAAGGCTAACGCATTCGCCACGGATAATGTTTAGCACCATGTCTGCGTCGAGCACGTCATCGGGTGAGGTCTTCGCATCCACGACTGTCTGGAACCGCGCCAACGTGCTCCAGACGGGTCCGTTGTGCACGTGCGCAGCAAACTCGGGATGCTGCTGCAGCGCTGCAAACGTATCGGCACGGTGCAACACTGAATAAATAAGTTGCGGATTTCGCGGCAACAGCTTTGCCTTCAGACAAGATGACACGACACCGAGCAACAACCGGATAAACTCGACGTACGCGGAACGTCTTTGAGCGAAGGCATCATTTTTCTCTTTGTCTGTAGCCTTCAAGCGTTTCATCTGTATCACTAGCTTTGCTTCGTTCTTAACCAGCATGTCAATGAGCTCCACGATGCCTTGAGCAGCACACATGTGCAGATTCTCGGCCGAGCGGGCGAGGTTGGACAAGGCTGCAAAAGCGTTCAGATGGATAAAGCTGTCCTGAAAGTGGGTGATGTTGCGGATTATGAGCCGTGTGAAGATAACCATCATGAGACTGCCCAGCGAAACATCTACCATGTAATGCTTCTGGTACCACGACACATTGGGTACAACCAATTGCGTATGAGCAGTATGAACAAACGTTTGGTCTTGTGTGAACGTCAGTAACACGACCACCAGCATGTACAAGCGGCTAGGCTCGACAGACCGCGCGTGATACAATGTCTCCAATAAAGGCAGCAATAGACGCTCCATGTCTGCGTCGCTCACAGCCCTATCCAAAATCATTGGATTCGAGTATAGTAATGTGTACAGCATGAGATGACTAGCTTCGTATGGTGCGTGGCTTCCAATGACCTTGAACAAATCTGAGAATGGTAGCTCCAATTTCTTCGCACCTAAGCTTTGAGATGCCCCACCATGCTGCATTGGATAAGCTCTCGTGCTCTGGCTGTCGATGCCAGTATCATCTGTGATGCCACAAAGTGCGCCTCGAAAAGGATTACTAGTCACGGGCGAGTCACTATCTCGGCAACTCTGAAGCAAAACCAGTAGTAGCAGAACACTACGATCGGCGAGCGGGCTTGCAGTACCCTCCCAAGTGGTAAAATAACTCATGACGCTCCATGGGAAGTGGACAATGGATGCTGGTTGGCAGAGGAAAAGCATGCAGCAGTGAGACAGTGGCCGCAAAGAGGATTACGACGCCAGAATACTTACCCGCAATCGAGCCAACGCCTTTCAGTGTAAAATAGGAGAACTGGTCTTCATCGTATTCGTGGTTGGAGATTTCTGACATCGCAACAAGCGACATCTCTTGTGCCATTTGCAGAGCAACCAGTGCAGTATTTGTTATCGAACTTGGTCCCGTGGCTTGGAGCTGATCGATGGTATTCAGCAGCAAGCGGCGAACTACACCGGAAGCCCAGTACGACTTTTTACTTTGTGGCATAGCTGACACCATTAGCATATGAAGAAAAGGATTGTGCGAACGTAGATCACCAGCTTGCTTCGAATGATCCCGCGGATATACCACAGGAGACAAGAGCACCAAGAGCGTATTCACTACTTCCACGTGCAAATCATATGTCTTTTCACTGCAGATACAGTTTAGAATCAAATGAACATGCAAGTAACAAGGAGCCGTTAGATTCCTTCTAAATGATACCAGTACAGTTGTAATGGACGATAGATGCACGTACTTTGGTGGAAATTCAATAAGAGCGGTAAGCAGTGCATCCAGAAAGCGAAAAGCAAGATCGTCTGACGGATGTTGATTCGAGCATGCATCATTGTAGCTAGCAGTCTCTGCTTCCATCTGAATAGATAAGCTATCTACTACATAACCAGAACGTCAGTCGTGATATTTACCTCTCAACATCAACATTTCATACTAATACCCACGTCTTGTAGTAGTCTCAGAGGCAGCAACATCTGCCGGTCGTTGGTGTTGGAAATGAGCGAGTAACGAACATTCATCCGTTCTTTCCACAAATCTCATTGTAAATTGTCGAACCAAAAATAGTGCATTTACAGCTCGATGCAAGTGCATTTCCACTGTCTGTGGCGTCCCATCAATCAAGTCAGGACCTACTGCACCAGGTGCAAAAGCCGCCAATTGTTTCTCTGTCATATTCGCCACTTGACAGCTGAACGGCAGTGCGTGGATCACATTACGCACCAACACGCAGAAATTCCGTGACTTGAGACTATTCTGGGCTATTAAAATACAATTTAAATGAACTTGTCAGCATCCATTTTATTATTATTGCAATAATAATATTAATAATAATTGTAAAATTATTCCTACAATATTGAATTTAAATTACCTAAAGTCTCTCCATACTCGCGGGTCAAAAGCTCCACTTGCGTCTGTGACAATTGAGGTAATGGCTTGGCAGATGATAGAACCGTATGATAAGCTACATCCTCACGAGGAATATGCGTCTTGTCTGCAATCTTCTCAAAAGCAGCTTGTACCTTAGCAGAGGCAAAGACCTGCTCAACTTTAGTCGGTGACGAAGTCGACGCTCCCATGTCACGTTGTGTATGTGTATTTTCAGCGTTTAAACGATTTTAATTGGTTAAAATGGCGTTTTGAAGTGTAGCCATCTTCACTTCAAACTGATTACTTTGTGGGACTGAGGCAGGACGTAAAACTCGCATAAAAGTGGCAGGTGATCAGATGGTGATAGAGTGCTCGGCAAAGCGACTTCTCTGGTTGCATCTTCAAGCGACATTATTTCCATGAGCGCTGTCGGTCGAATCCTGCATTGCAACAAACGAGTTAGGAGCTGCTATTGACTATGAAAAGCATTTGCACATACCTATGAGAACGATAGAAAATGTAATCCAGAGTGCCAATGAAGCGTGGCACGTGCTTGCCATTATCCATCTTAGCATCACCATTAACATTGGTGAACTTTGGTTCGCCTTCTGCTTCGTACTGGGAGTAGGCGCTGTTGAAATCGTTGCTGTTCGTGATAAAATTATAGACTTTGCTATCCGGTAGTGAATTAAAGTCCCCGGAGAAAATGGTCGGTGTGGATGCATCCATCGTACTCGTAAACATGTCAATTGCTCGCAACATTCGACGCGATTGCAGCAGTTTCACATCTTCTTGCATTGGATCCCAAAACAAATGGGTCGTCGCGACGACAAACTCGAGCTGCGTCTCGAGGTGCTCAAAGTAAACAATCACACCAACACTTCCTCTTGTGGAAGCCCTTGAAAGTAATTCGTAATCGATATCTAATCAAAACGATCCAGCAAGTACCAGGTCGTAAGCTATTGAGTCATTTCAACAAAAAACGGTCCGAATGCAGCATACCAGCTTACCTGACTCGACTCCATTAGGCAGGTCTAGACAAACTTGCTTCGACTCTTTCACCCTCAGCTTCTTTGTATCCCAAAACACAGCCACACCGTCTCGTTTAGCGCCTGTTTTCTTGACAAAGAGGCTATTATTGCAACGCACAACCATAAGTCAAATCAAAACTCAAGTCTACCATAAAAAGACATATACAATGCAAAGATCTTTAGGTCACCCTTGATATCCCAATTTCTTCATCATGCCAGCCCAGAATTCGTCGTAATTGTCCACTTCCTGTATTATAGCATAATGAAATTATAAGTACTGCCTTATCGTCCACTTCATAGCTACTATCCCTATAGGCACAGACCTGCAAGCAGATGACATCAGGTGATACCGGCAGACTCGAGGTGAACACCTCCGCCTACTCAATTACTCGTCAGTAACCTCTCATTCTTGATTCACCCAGTTATGTAAGACTCTTTGACTATCTACCAGATGCTTCGACCGATTTTTCCACTTGATTTCACTATACTTGCAATACGGGAAGAAGCTCGAGCGGACGTAGCACTGTGCCAGTACATTATACGTCATCACTAGTAGCTTCTGTGCGACATCAGTGGCTGTAATATATAATTGTATTAATTTTATGCATACAAAGGTCTTAATTGTGACAACCGTTTAGGAGTTTGACCAGAAATGGGACCTTACCAGCGCCATCATGTGGCAGCACGCGTAATCCCTGCGTCTTCATGGACAAGAATCGCAATAACAGCTACAATTGGTCATAAATATGGGTTTACTTTTATCGAATCGTAATTCTCTATTTTATGTTACGGTCGTATGAGTGGTTGAAATCAAATAGAGGATTGAATGGCGAGCATGCTTTCGTCCTGACCTTACAAATTCCAGGCTCAAGTAGTGCTAAAATCACAAAGGCTTCCTCAATTCAAAGGTAAGAAATGAGCTACTACTGCTTTTGTATGCACACTATCAATATGAATACAATTACCTTTGCTATCAACTGAAATGGAGACAGCGATGCAATTGACTTGAATGCAATAACGTCACTAAAATGGCTACAAAATACAGGACACAAACAGGAAAAACGCTAACAGACATGGTGATGATATTTTGTATTGTAGATGGTGCAGGTTACTCCCGTCATTCGCCCAAAAATCGTCAAGAAGAAGGTGACAAAATTCAAACGTCACCAGTCCAACCGTTTTAAGCGTGTGCCAGAATCATGGCGTCGTCCAAAGGGTATTGATGGCCGTGTGCGCCGAAAATTCAAGGGTGCCATTAAGATGCCAAACATCGGTTACGGCTCCAATAAGAAGACGCGTCACCTGCTACCCAACGGCTTCTTTAAGTTCGTTGTCAACAACGTGGCTGAGCTCGAGGTGCTGCTTATGCACAACCGCAAGTACTGTGCCGAGATCGCTCACAACGTGTCGGGCCGCAAACGTCGTGAGATCATCGACCGTGCTGAACAGCTTAACGTGCGCGTGACCAACCCTAACGCCCGTGTCCGTGCTGAGGAGAACGAATAAGCGCTCTTTTCGGCGAGCATCTAACTACAGGAGTGACGACTCAAAGGACGGACGTTTGTGCGTTTGGATGAGGCTAAGCTTTAGGACGAGGACAGGAACCAATTGTGAGAAAGCAAGGAAGCAGATTCAGCTTTGGGCGGTAATCGATAATTCACCGCTAGCGCCCAGCTGGTTTTGTGGACTAGCTCGTGTGTAGTGTTTTTTCTCTTTATCTGCATCACGCACGTAATTTGTAGATGAACTTGGTCATCGTGTAGATATTATCGCATCGAAGGCTCGTGAGTGTTGGCTCTGTAGCTTTGTGTCTATCTTACTCAGCAGCGGCTATCGTGTTACGCGATCTGATTGACCAGGTAGGAGCACAAGGTGAATTATAGTGTAGCCATCTTGTATGTATACTGATACCCTATGCTGTATAGCTACTATTGAACTCTTATATCGACTAAAACTTAGCTAAAATGTTGCTACGTCCTACCAATTATTATTCTCGAGACGACATAATTAATTACACATCGATAAAAAATAGAGTATATTCTATTAAGAGGCATTATAAACCTAGATAAACATGCAGCCCTCTTTGCTTCTGCTGCGCATGGCCCGCCATAGCAGCAGCATCTCAACGTCTTCATCCCTTCACCTATTACGACCTCTTGGTTCCACTGGTGTGCGCTTTATTACCAAACGTGCGGCGGATGAGGCTCGTCGCATGTCCATAAAGAAGCGCAACCGTCGTGCTGTCATTTATCTCGCTGGCACGGCCATCGCTTGGGTCGGTATTTCGTACGCCGCTGTCCCGCTGTACAAGATCTTTTGCCAAATGACGGGCTTTGGAGGAACAACGCAGCGTGTTGACGAGTTTGTAGCTGATAAACTGACGCCTCGAGAAGACTCGAATCCGATTCGGATTACATTCGATGGTGGTGTTAGCGCCAATATGCCGTGGGTCTTTCGACCACAGCAGCGTGACTTGTTGTTAGCACCTGGTGAGACTGCATTGGCCTTTTACACGGCCAAGAATAAGACGGACAGGGCAATTACGGGAGTTGCTACGTACAACGTGTACCCGCCATCGGCTGGCGTGTACTTTAACAAGATTCAGTGCTTTTGTTTTGAGGAACAGCGACTCAAGCCAAATGAGGAGATTGACATGCCTGTGTTTTTCTTCATCGATCCTGAAATCTGTGACGATCCAGCGATGAATGGTGTGCATAATATCACGTTATCCTACACGTTCTTTAAGACGGACGACGTCAGTGAAGACGAAGTGAATGACGAGGACTAAATATAGGTCTGATCAGGCCGGAAAAAAAAGAGAAGACAAAAAAACGAGAAAGTAGGCACGAATACCCAAATTCACCACGCTTTTTCTTCTTCTTAGTCATAACCCATTTTATTCATGTAAAACTGGGTTTTATCCAATTTCTATTTTAGTTGCAAATATCGAAAAACCCAGTCAAAAGGACGCATATACAGACATACCTCCAATACAAAAAAAGTCGTTTGTCAAAACCAATCCGAATTATGGCGAGTAAAGAAGAACATAACGATGATGAGATCCGTGAACAAGACCGTTTTCTACCTACGGCCAACATTTCTCGAATCATGAAGGTCTCCCTTCCTTCCACTGCTAAAATTGCAAAGGACGGGAAAGAAACAGTGCAAGAATGTGTGAGTGAATTTATCTCGTTCATAACGAGTGAAGCCAGTGACAAGTGCCAGCAGGAGAAACGCAAGACCATTAATGGAGATGATATTATTTGGGCCATGAGTACACTTGGTTTTGATTCGTACGTTGAGCCACTAAAACTTTACTTGCAAAAATATCGCGAGTCCGTGAAAGTGGAGAAGAATGACAAGAAAGACAATGTGGGATCCTTTGGAGCGTCTTCGTAGGGACACGAGATGCTGTAGATAACACTTGAAGAGAAGATGGAGCTTTTAGTTGAGCAGTAAAAATACCATGGAAACAAAAGACACTAAAAAATTTATTGTCGTTTATGGCGACGATAGAACGGATGGATGGAATTTCGTTCGACTAAGTCTGAGCTCCTTTGCCTTCTTGCCACTTTCTTGTTGAACAATGTTGTTGATTTAAAGGTATTGGAGGTCATCGTTAGTAGCAAAAGAGATTGATGACAAGTACATTCACTTCGATAAATGCTACGCGTGCATTGCTTAATACTTACAATCTAACTTTTCCATTCGTTATTGATGCACCAACTTGAAGCTAATTCTGCCAACCCGGTCCTGATGAACTTATATGTGACCTTGCTCGTTTCTTGGTTGGTCCAGGTGACGCCGAACGACTGATAGAACCACCTCGTGCTGCTAATTTTGCTGCTTCTCTTGCAGCAGAAGCTGCTGTTCCAGCAGTTGCACTTGACGCGCTGCCAAGACTCGGCCTCTTGACTTTCATTACGGGAATTGATCCGCTTGACGAAGTGTTTGAGATAGGCGACACGGTTGGCGGCGTATTACTTGTAGGTCCCACAATGTTCTCCTTCTCCTTGAGCATCGTCTGTAGCTTCTTGAGCGAGCGCTGCAATTTAAGCTTGTCGTCTGTCAGCAGTCGCACCTGGTCCAGTAGACGGTTGTTCTCCTCCTTCACCTTCACGTGGTGCTGAATTTTTTGCCGGCTGTTGTGATGACCGACTAGCTTCTCGTTTTCCTTTGACAACATCCCCACTTTTTTCGTAAGAGTTTGAATCTCTCGCTGCATCTTCACCTTCTCAGCTAAAAATTTGCGCTTAGCTTGACCATTTACATCTTGAGCCGCTGTCGCCGCCTTGACTTCCTTCAGAGCATTCTCAGCTGATGCCTTCTGTGCTTCCAACGCTTTTTGAAGAGACTTCATTTCCTCCTCGGCAACGTCAAGTGCACTGCGACGACGATTGAGCTCGTCTTCCTGCTCCTTCAGCTTGAACACTGCCTCCTTCTTAAGATCCGCGTTTTCGAGTTGAACCGATTTGTGCTTCGCCTCGAGTTCTTCGATTGCACCCTGCAAATCTTTAACCTTGACGCTGTTGTCGCTCTGTGCCACGCGGTCCTTGAACTCAGCCAAAGTTTTATTGGCAAACTCAATCTGTTCGTCTTTTTGTCCTACGGTTGCTTCAAGCTGCTTGATCTCTTGCATCAGCTGCTCAGTCTGCTGCGCCAAGATTTCCTCTCCTTCCTCGAGTTTCTGCTCAAGCAAGTACTTCTCCGTCAAGAATGATCCCTCGGCCTTCGCAAACGCCGCAGTCTTCTCGGCCACTAACTGTTCAAATGCCTGTACCTGGCCGTGTGCGGCCCCCAGCTCAGCTTTGTATTCACGCGTTTTCAGGTCCCACTCAACCTCGTCGTCATGCACACGATCTCTTAACGTTGCAATGGTGTCGTCTTTTTCCGTAATAGCAATCGTCTTCTCGGCGAGCTTCGCTTCCTGTTTCGTTAACTGAGATTCGAGGCCACGCACACTGTTTTGCAGCTCGGCGATAGTGCTAGCCTGTTTCTCCTTTGTTGCGGCTGAGCTGGTAGTGTTGGACTCCAGCACAATAATCTTGTTCTCCCTGTCGGTAACACGATCCTGAAGCTGTTGAATTTTCCTAACCTGCTCTGCAACTGACGTCTTGAGTGATACAGTCTCTTGCTCCAATTCATGCTTCAGAGATATCAGCGTCTTCTCACTGAGAGCCAATTCATCAACTCGCTTCTCAAGAGCCAAGATCGATGCGGAAGAGTGTTGTTCCAGCTCACTCTTTTCACTCATCCACACCTCTCGGGCTTTAGCAAAATCCTTTTCGATGCTCTGCCTGAATTCTTGTTCTATTTTCAGCGCCTTGGCTACCTTGAGACGATCAAATTCGAGATTTTTCAGCTCGTCGCGCAGCGTGGATTGAGTTTCTCTGTACAGCTTAATCTCTTCGCGCTGGCTTGAGATGATCCCTTCAGCATCTCGAATCGCAATTGATGTCTTCTCAAGCTTGTTTGTCATATCCTTCACGATATCCAAGCTTTCAGCAAGTTTCTGCTGCTGCTCTTCAATCTTTTTAGCATTGGAGGCAAGTTCATCACGCTGTTGAGAATGCGTAATTGCAGCCTGGCGACAATCGTCTCGTGCCAATGCAAGATCCTTATAAAGACTAGCTACTTCATTCGACCGCAAGACAATCTGCTGCTGCAGCTCCTCAACTTCTTGGGTGAGCCTATTGATATTGACCTCCGAACTCGACAACTGAGCTTGCTGTAGATCGCATCGCTCCAGCAACTCCGCGTTCTGATCATCCAGTTCTTTCGTTTTCACCTGCAATTCTTTTGAATGCTGTAACAAACTATGGATCTTACCTGTCATTGCGTCCTTCTCGGTTTGAAGTTTCTTCATACCATCCTGAAGATCCTCGATTTCGTGCATTGCAGCAACACGATCTATTTCGACTTTGTTCTTCTCTTCAAAAAGCTGAGAAAGATCAGCGAGTGTTTTGGACAACTTCTGCTGGACGTCTCCCAACGCTAGCTGAGATTCCTGTTTCTGGTCATCAAGCTGCTGCTGAAGCACCGTAAGTGACAAGTCCTTCTCTTTCAGCATCAAGCTGTGGAGACGATCAGCTTCTTCTGCACCGGCTCTATATATATCAAAGTCAGAGCGAAGCTGCTGCAGCTTTTCATCTTTCAATCGAAATTTCTCCTTAAAGTCCTCAATCAACATTTGCTCTTCCTCCTGTGCGTGACGCTTCAACGACTCTATCGCTTCTGTATGGTTTTGCGCGGTGGCACAAGCATCCTCCTGCATCTGTCTCAGGGACTGACTGAACTCCTCAAGCTTTTGTTCCAGAATATTCTTTTCCACAATAACCACGGCTTCAGAACGCTTTTGCTCATCAATTACACTCTCACATTCGACAATCTTGGCTTGTAGGTGGACTGTTTGTAAGACAGTTTTCTTCAGTTCATCGCGAGTGTCACTAACTTCCAACAATGTCCTCTGGTTTGCCTCTTCGAGTTTGCTCACTTCCACCTTTACACGAGCCAACTCGTCGTCGGCATTTTGGACCTGACACTCACGTTGTAAGAGATCCCTATTCGCAGCAGCAAGCTGATGCATCAACAATGTGTTGGAATGCTCAAGAGATTGATTAGCAGTGGCACGGTCAGCCAGTGCAGCCTCAAGCTTAAGTTGGGCACTATGATGCACTCGATCCAGTTGTATCTGCAGTTTTTCAGCTCTGGTCTTTTCTTCCACCAGCAGTCGTTTGGTCGCACATTGAGCTTCCTCTAAATTTTGTAGAGCTGCTGTGGAATCTGCAAGTCGGCGTTCAAGGTCGTGTTGCTGGACGGACCAGGAAGCTTTCAGCTCCTTCATCTGGAAAAGCTCAAGCGATGTCTCTGCTACTTTCTCTTCCAAAACTGCATTGACGGATGCCGCAGAGTCCACCTTTGCCTGATATTCGCTTGCCTGCTGCTTTAGCGATTCCTCCAACCGGGCAGAAAAGTCTGCATCTACAACTTCTTGCGAAAACAAACCCACTGAGCTTTTGTCCTTGTCAGCTTGATTCTCCAACAGTCGGTCTTGTAAGTCATGCTTCTCGCGCAGCACAAAAGCAAGCTGTTTCGTCAACGTTAACAGCATCATATTGACATTCTCAACTTCGCTGTTAACCTTTTCTGCGATGCCAGTATCTTCAATTCCATTGCATTGTAGCTTGTCCTGAAGCTCAACAACGCGCTCCTCCATCTCCTCGTACTTCATCCTCCATTCAATGGCATCCGCTGAAGGCTTATATTCATGCACTTCTGTGCCGCCAATTCCACGAAGTCGTAGCATCATTTTTAGCTGCGCAACACTTTGCTTTAAATCTGCGCACAGCGCTTGAAAGTTTCCATTTTGAAGCTGCAGAAACTCGCACGAACGCAGTAGTCTATCATTTTTCTCAGCAGTCGTTGCAAACGATTCTTCCAGCTCGCGAAAGCGCGTGTCAGTGACAGGATCGTAGGGTCCATATTGCTGAGACGATGGAGCAACAGAGTCTTGGCTTGATGTGATATCTGATAGTGTTCCGCCTTGCTGTAGAAGCAAACTGCACCCTCGAATATCGGGCGATATTTTTTGCTGTGTCTTCTGCAGCTGAAGCTGCCGTCGAAGTCGTTGAATTTCTTCTTGCAATAAGAGGGCACTGCCGACAGAGTCTTCGTTAATGACTGCACTGTTCTGAATCATCTTTGCTCTTTGGGCAAATTTTAAAGTAGAGAGTGTCTCGAAAGCAGAGTCTTCTGCTGGTGAAATGGTTGCAATCATAAATGTTTTCGAGTTTCCACCAAGCGAGTCCTTCAGTAGAAATGTCAGCTTCGAATCACGGTAGTGCACATGGCGATGTTTGCCCACTGACTGCTCTGACAAGCCCAGAATGACATTACCAAGAGCCGACAACGACTTGTTAATATTGCCAGCTTCCTTTAATCGTTCTCCTGCTGCATCAGTGCTTCGTTGTCGTTCTGAACCTGCTAAATCTACCAAATTGAACCGCGACGTGCGGATCTTGGTGCCTTCCGGTGTCACTTCTTTCGACTGAAGCTGTAAGATGAAAACACTATGTGACCTGCTGCTTTCTCTGTTCATCGAGGTCTGCCCCACACGTCGATTCTGAGCCCCAATTGTCATAAGTTCTGCTGCTTGTTTTGAATTGGTCACGACACTTTCAATCAGACCTTCCACATGTACACCTTTTCGTCCATTTTCTCTCAGCTGTAATCCTGTTGGATCTTTTGTACTTCCTCCATCTAAAAGATCGTATACTCGTTCATTGTAAATTTCCAAGAACGAACATGCAAATGTATATTGCACCGTATTGGTTTTCTCCTTACCCATCACCGTATCAAAGAGGTAATCAAAGACTCGAGGTACAAGACCCCGTAATGAAAGTTCTTCTTTTTGTGTAAAATTTTGTGTCTCCATCGTGTCAATAACATTATCAGGTCCTTGCATTGTAAATGTCTTGCCCGATCCTGTCTGTCCATAGGCAAAGATTGTGCCATTATAACCTTCAAGACACGCCTGGGTAATAGGTGCTCCCACCACCTCAAAAACATCATTTTGACTGGCACCTTCGTGAAACACGCGATCAAATGTAAATGTCTTGGTGGATGCGTGTTTACGATGTAAAAAGATCGTCTGCTGTGCTGAATCTGAGGCGGAAACGGTCACACATTTCTTTGTAAAGGACGTGGAAGACGCAGCGACGTTATTACGAGAAAAGAAGCCGGCAGAGCTACTTATGTTTGTGGTGTTAAGGCCGCGTTCGCGTTCGTTGGGCGGTCGTACACGGCAAAAGACCTTGACATTCGCATCCTGATCCATCGTCCGACGTCCTGGCGCACTTCTGGTTTAATTTTGTGTAAAGAAATTCATTTTTGTCTGTAGAAATGTCGCTTGAACGTGGGTAAGTATACAGACAACTTAACGATACCTATTCCTAACTGCGAAATAATTCCGGTCCCGATGATGCCCCATACCCTGGAACCGGTCTATTATACTACTTCTGTAACTGATAACCTGTCTTAGCTGTCCTAACCTAAGGGTATCACTTTGGGCAGGGTTTTAGGTAAGGCATAAGTACGATACGAATTGTCGTCGGAAGGTTGTCCATGTTCGTAACATGAATTGGGCATCCAATCAATTTCGGTGGCATCCTATCATAAGTACAAAAGCGTAATGTAATCAACGGGAACATGGAGAAATGTTTTCATGTGGCCTGACGAAATGAAATCTCGTATGTATTAAGAAAGCAAATTTGCAGCAGCTTTTGTAAAACACTAACAGAAAGCAGCAGTCTAACAGCCCATTTAGTGCTCTTCCTTTTCACAGTGCTCCTTGTAGGCGGCCTCATCCAGCAAATCGTCCACGTCCGACACGTCGTCCAGCTGCACACACACACACGACATCGTTAGTTTAGACATTCTCGATTGCATACAACTTGCGAGTTTGTAAAACATCACAACGCACCTCCAGTTTAATAAACCAGCCACCAGTCATGGCCTCGTCGTTCACGAGATTCGGTTCGTCAGCCAAATTCTGCACATCAGCATCAGTTGGTTCACATTCCATGAGAAAAACAGCAAAAGCAGCTGCAACTTACCTCGTTTATAGCCGTGACTGTGCCAGTAGCAGGCGCGTACACGTCACTCGCGGCCTTAACAGACTCTACGGCACCAAAAGCGTCACTTCAATGATACACAACAACACAATGTCAGAATAAAAACACACTGACTGACAGTCAATAGCATACACAATATCACACTCACCCCTTCTTCAACTTGTCACCTACTTCCGGAAGGTCCACGTACACGACGTCACCCAGTGAGTTCTGAGCAAAGTCAGTGATCCCAATGGTGCCCTCCTTGCCATTGATCGTCACGTATTCATGTTGCGGTGTGTATTTGGTCGAAAAGCAAGCAAGACCTGCAGGACATTGCGAGGTTGCACGCCAGGCTGCAGGAGCAACCGACTTGAAAGCACGTGCACGAAGAGACTGCGAGAAAACACGAAGTGCCATGATGTTATAACGGGAATAAAGAGAGAGCGAAGTGTGGGGTTTTCTTCCAAATGTCGAATGATGCTCATGCGCTCGACCGTTTTTGTTGATGGTGTGGCTACATTCAAATATCTTGAGTTAACAAAGGCATACAATTTACTAGTCATATATGGAAACCAGAAGTTGATTAGCAGCTCTCAAAGCCAGTGGTTGAAACTGTTTAACTGCGTGTGATAAAGATGTTGACGCGCTTTGTTCTGCGTCGTAATGGACGCTCCAGTTTTCGTCGCTCGTTCAGTCGTGAACTCACTACGGTATCGGGTATCGATGAGGACGTTGCAGCTGGTTGTCGCGTAGTGGAATCACCGGGTATCAAGCTGGTTAAGCGCAAAGTCGCGATTGTGGGAGGTTACATGGGCACGGGTTACCATGGGTTACAGTTGAATGACAATGTGAACACGATTGAAAACGAGATACGCCGTGCCATCTTTGACGCTGGAGCCATGCGTGAATCTAACTTTGAGGACTTGGGAAAGATTGACTGGGCGAGGAGCAGCCGCACGGACAAGGGTGTGCATGCCGGTTGCATTGTAGTGCGTATGCAGACACTGCACGTTATTGTTTTTGAGATGTGAGAGTAACGAGGATTTTTGTTGGGCTTGTGTGCTGCAGTTCTCTGGTAAGCTGCTGATCGATGAAGAGAACAAGGTGGACCATACATCGGGTCGAGTAAATGGACTTGCGGAGGCGCTGAACGCGTCGCTGCCGGAAAACATCCGCGTGTTCTCGTGTACAAGAGTGAATAAGCGTTTTTCTGCTCGCAGGAACTGCGTGCTGCGTGAGTACGAGTACTTCATGCCGCTGTCGTTCTTGCAAGGTAGCGCTCTTGGATCGGATGAAAAGGATGAGTTTGACACGGATGAGGCTGTCGCTGAGTTCTGTCGCGCGCTTCGGCGATACGAGGGGGTTAATGACTTTCACAATTTTACACGTTGCAGGTCACACTATTACAAGTTGCAGGCAAAACGGGAGCAGTGGAAGGCACAAAACCGAGGAGATGCAGCTGCTATTGAAGCGGTGGAATACGACGACGTGGTCGAAGAATCTCAAGTTACTGACGACGATGATGAGGAAGATGAAAGCTTTGGTGTTAACGACTACTCTAAAGAGTCAAGCCAATTTGGAGACGAAGCGGCAGTGACTCGCAAGCTGTTGCTTCGTCACCGCCGATCCATTTACTCTTGCTCGGGTAGCCTTGTTCATAATTTTTGCGGTGAGCCATTTCTACGGGTACACATTGTCGGACAAGCGTTCTTGCTGAACCAGATCCGTTGCATGGTCGGTGGCGCCCTTGCTGTGGCGACGAAGGGCATGTCCCGTGTTGCTTTTGATGCTGCTCTGTGTAAGTCACGATTGTTGTGTGCAAACTGAGATGGATTTTTGTAACGGATGTGTTTGTTATGCTGTTGACGCTGATTCAGTGACAAACCGCATCGTACGCGTTCCGATAGCTCCAGCCGAGGGACTTGTACTTCTTAGCAGCTCGTTTGGAGGAAAACTTCACACCGTCTCCCTTTTCGAGGACCCGAACACAGTTCTTGCAAATGAGCGTAAGGATTTGAAACATCGGATCCTCTTGAATAGCCGTGAGGACAAAGAAATGAAGAAGTTTCGTGAAGAGGTGATTTACAAGGAAATTTCACGCAACTGGGACATGGAAGAGAAGATGGATCCGTGGCGTGCGTATCTCGAGCGCTGCTACGAGTCCAATGAACGCCTTGATGAAGATGAGTTAATGAATGTGCTGTACGAACTGGACGAAACCAAGCTCGCGATCAAGAAGAAGAACCAATTGTTTGTTGAGCGGAACCGCATTGACCTGACTGAAAAGGGACGCCAGGGTGCATTATTACCGAAGCAATTTACTACAAAGCTTTGCGTTCGGTATAACGTAGCCCCGGGTATTTTCACGTCGGACCTGCGTCGTGCAGTTACATGGGTAAGTCTTGCTATGGATGGAAGAATATCATATTTGCAGTGTGTTGACACATTAAACTTTTGTTGTGTGGCAGCACCTTAAAATAGGTAAGATGCCTCTTGACACGAATGAAGAGCAGATGATGGTTTATATTGACAAATACGGCCCTCAAAAGCTTGCTATAGAGGGACGCAAGCTGCGTTTAAGCATTCGAGCGTAAATAGAGCACCATATTGATCGGATAATAGAGTATTAGATATGAGCTTTCAAATATGGTAGATTATAATCTCATTGGCTGTAATATATGGTTTTCATCCAATCATATTAATCTTCTAGTGTTGTTTCCCCGTCCCATTAGGGGCATTCTCAATTTGAAACTGTATTCAGGATCGTAAGGAAGACAAATGGTAACGACATTAGTTACAATTTAACATCTGTTATATCAGCTAACTCATTATATATCGTTAATAGTTTGGAGGTTTTGGTGGAGACGGTAATCCCTTTAACGTGCAATTTAATTTTGGTGACTTTCCACAGCGGTATTTGAGCCATCGTCAACACCTAAACCCCATCTTTTTCTTACAATCGTTTATTGTATGTTTTATGTCATAAATAGGTTTAATGAGCACTATCGAGTGTACCCTGTGTCATTTTGTGACAAAGGACACTTGGAAGATGGTGACAAGAGTGAGTTTACAAATTGCTTATTAGGTACAAACAATTTAACCTCTTGATTACATTAACATTTTCTTTTCTATGTTTTGTTTGGTAGTTTTACTACCACCTTCTGCCCTTGAGACGTTAGGTATGTATTTTTTGTACAATAAATGAGATAGAAGTCAGTTAATGATATTCTGATTTTTTTTATTGTTTCTTGTTTAGCACGTCTGCATATTGAATATCCGATGTTATTCAAGGTGACCAATGAAGGAGTAGAACGCTCATCGCACTGCGGTGTATTGGAATTTAGTGCTCCGGAGGGGAGCTGTTACATGCCATACTGGGTATACACTGCTTTTTGAATTGGATTAAATGACAAGTAAACTGACTCAAATGGTCATTTTCTTGTATTGCAGATGATGCAAAATCTTTTTGTAACGGAAGGTGGAATTTTGAACATCCAGAATGTTTCGCTACCGAAAGCAACGTTCGTGAAGCTACGGCCACAATCTCAAGATTTTCTGGACATTTCGAACCCGCGTGCCGTGTACGTTGTTTGAACGGTTGAGATATGGACTGTTTTTTCTGTGTGCTAACAAAGAATGTACTGATTGTAGCTTGGAGGGCTCTCTCCGAACGTTTTCATGCATGACAGTAGGCGACACAATTTGCCTCAAGTACAACAACAAGAATTACATGCTGGACGTACGGAAAGTGAAGCCTGCACCTGCTGCCTGTATCATCGAGACCGATTGTGAGGTGGATTTTGAACCTCCTCCCGACTACAATCCTCCTGCTCTTGCCGCTGCAGCGGCATTGGCAGCTCCCGCGGTGCCATCGGATATTCCATATGGCGGTAAAAGATGCTGTCTGTTGTAGCTTTTTGCTCATATATATTCTCAAAGCTCATACATTGGTGCCCGTGTGTTGATTTGGTAGGCGTTCCAACAATGAAAGCGGAAGATATTAACTTGGTACATCGTGGTGGAACGGGATTCGGTAGTGGTTTGCGTCTCAAGAAAAGTGGTGAAAAAAGCTCGACCGACGCAGCAGCACTCCGCGCTGCTCGCTTACGCAAATACGAGGCCTTTCACGGCGCTGGTCGCTCGCTCAGTGGGAAGACGTCCAAACTCAGTAGCTCGTCTTCTGATGGCTCTTTCTTGGGAAGCTGTAACAGTACATTGCCGCTTAATGGAGGCAGCAACAGCAGCTCAGCCATTGGAAACAGCACTAAGCCTTCTGTGACCTATCGACTGAATGGTGAGGCAGTTCATTTAGCTGATGAGATTGTGGAGGAAAAGGACGAAGAGATGAAAGAAAATGGCGACCCCAAGCCTTTTCAAGGCGAAGGCCGGCGGCTGAGATAAATGTCGATTTGAGGCACGCAGCAAAAACTCTTAACGGCGAAGCTTACAAGTTATTGAGGACGAAGAATGAACGGATTTGCATTTACTTGCCTTGTTTTACCGTTTGCACTTCATTTCAGCGATGATTGAACAACGTATCGACAATTTATGTCGCATGCAGCTGGCTCTAACGTTATGCTTTCAGAATGAAATAGACCGAGTTACTTGTCAGCCAGCGAGACCAAGACGCCCGACGTCACTCTGGTCCGCCGAATCAACCCACAGCCGTCCATATCGGCCAGATGAAACTCCAGCTGAAAACGCGAGTGCCTCAGCTTGACTTTTTGCAACTGCTGCTCTTGCATCTCTTTGTACTTTGCGCGCTTCAGTGTGCTTAGAATGAGCATACGCGTCTTCTTGATCGCAGATATGAGTTTTCCTATCCCTGGCACAGAGAAGAAATATGCCTCGTCATCCAACCGAGTCGTCGGCAGCAAAAACCCAAGCCGTTGAATTTGCCTACAATTGTACACGCAACACACCTTCAATGGTTACAAAACATACAACAACCTCCATACAATCACTTCTAAACGTACCCCACTACAGCTCGGATTTCCTGGTCGTCCGTAAAGCTCCCGCTCTTACTCAATGTCGATATCAAGACTTTCAGTGGAGCAGTTGATAGCGATGTGATTGACGCCAGTACTTGTTTGAACGAAATTATGGCATTCAACTTGCACGAGATAGCATTATCTTGTGGGTGTTGGCGTAACTGCTCACGAAATACATTCTCGTACTTGTCCACCTCAGCAATATAGTCCTCTGTACGTAGAATTGCTACGTCATCTATCCCTGAAGGAATCTTGAACGTTATCAATTGGCCTCTGGTTCGGAGTCGATGTACCTGCAGTAAGACAGCAAAAAAAAGAAGCCAATTAGCTCAGTGCGTTCCTCAATTATTGCAATGACAGCAAACTTAGCTCACATTTTGGTCGACAAAGGTCCGGTTGGGTAAAATGGAATACCTACAAGTAAGAACCAAACAATGAGACACATTATAAAAGTTATGAGTGACAAGTAAAGACTTACAGTTGGTGCCAGACTATTAAAGGAGGTAAGCTCAGAGACGCATATCCATTGGCATTGCGGTTTAACAGCAATTGGATCGATGCCATGGTGTCGTCAATGAGATCGACGGATGTGGCCCATTCATCTTCTTCTGCAACTATATTGACAATGTCAAGCTTACGTTTTTGACGTCGTAGCATTTTCTTGTTTGTTCATACAGATTAATATCAGGAATTCGTCTTAAAATAAACATTCCATCTCGTGGAGTTACAATACATTTGTAAAAGTTGACAGCAGTTTCATTATTGTACTGGAAATACAACCATAAGGCTGGAAAACCGGGACGAAATACAGAAATTGGTTCTTCTTGCACATTTTGAGCTTACCTTTTAATTTTAATACTGTAGCAGTGTCTCATAATATGTTCAATGCTACCACTTGGTGCAACGTTATGCTACGACTTAGTGTAACGTTACGCTACCACTTAGTGCAACGTTATGCTACGACTTAGTGTAACGTTATGCTGCTACTTAGTCGTAACGTTTCGAAACGCCCTGCTCCTGTTATGTAGCGGGGTGACCCCGTTACATAACATTGGAATCAACATTAAATGCCAATGTAAACATTATCTTAGTGGATAATATTCAGCAACATTATCATACTTCGTGTATCTCCTTACAGTTGGAGATGCCCTTCGAGCTTATTTAGGCCATAGTATCGCTATCCAATGAAGGATGAACGCGCGTAATAGGCGATGGGCATTATACATAAAAGTAATGACATATACTTAAGGTAGATTTCAAATAATTGGTATTGAGAAGACTTTAGTTACATTAAATACATTTTCCCTTCTCCCTACAATTAAGCGTGTTCGTTTCGTTTTATTACTTCCTTTCGCCCCTCGGTGTACGTGAGGTTTCAAGTTACCTGCTTACATTGTCATCCGTGGAAGCAGACTATACTGTTGTTGGACGATGCCCCGTGCTTTTGGTAGCACTTCGTGGTCCGTTCAACGACCAACCACATGCCCACTATGGAACAAGCGGATGTGGAACATTATTACGCAACGCGTGATGACTTCTGCCATTTTACCTCTGTTAGGAAATGAGAACTTGAGCGAAACGAAGAGAAGAAAAGCTTAAAAGTCGAAGTAAGTCTGCACTTGAGTGAAGACTGAACGACATGAGCAGAAGAGATTATATTCAAAAGTGATTCATTTATCGTAGCTAATTCTACCTACTACATGATCTACATGTAACTCACATATAAATCATGTTAAACGTCTCCTCATCATATGCGTTTCTTCATCATACGCGTAATCGGATTTGTGGTGGAGTGGATCCTCAAACAGCGGAGAAGAACCACAAACACACACAGCGTCGAACTGCCGGCTTACGGAGGGGGTACCCCGATACCGTGTCGTGTTAACCTTGGGTCTCACCTTGTGTACCCGTCGGCTTGGCTGGTCTTGCTCCTCGGTTGACGCAGAAGACTTAAAGACTTGGTCTTTGTATAAGACTTGGACTTGGTGGTCCACGAGCGGATATGCTTCACTTGGGACCTAGTTTCTTGTGCTCGAACGACTGAGTCGAGAGCGATGCACCTGGTACTACGTACCCCTTTGGTGGCTGACTGTTCTTGGTCCTTGGACCCCTTTGTGTTCTTTCCCGCAGGGAAACCGCTTCCTGTAGCGGGTTGTAGAGTCTTGACACTTACTTGACGCCTCAGGCCAACTATCTTGAGGTTCAACTTGCGTAGCTTGAGCCGACTAACACCTGCTGACGTCGGGGGGCCAAAGGGTATCCCGCCCGGAAGAGGTGAGGCGACGGAGAAGCTTGGAAGGGGCGCTTAAAGCTGCCACGTGTAATGCAAATTTGAGTGTTTATTTATCTTATTCTCTGTATGCTTTTCTTGCCTAACCATAACCCTCGCTCTGGCCGGTGCCACGTATCAACTTGTGACAAAACAACTGGCTCTTTTAGGACATGGGACTTGTACCGGCTCTGCACTTGCGGGGATCTTGTATCTTCTATAACCTTGGGTCACCTGGCCACATGAGGCTCGTGTGACATTGAAGTCCACCGGTCACCTGGGGTCCACCGGTCATCTGGGGTCCACCGGTCACCTGGGGTCCACCGGTCATCTGGGGTCCACCGGTCACCTGGGGTCCACCGGTCACCTGGGTCCACCGGTCATCTGGGGTCCACAGGTCATCTGGGGTCCACCCGTCGTCTGGGTCCACCGGTCACCTGGCCCCACCGGTCACTTGGGGTTCACCGGTCACAAGGGGTTCACCGGTCACTTGGGGTCAACCTAAGCTGCCCTAGCATCACTGGACCTTCGGGCTGTTGTGTAGGTAAACATGGTACCTCACACTCGATCACGCACTTGACATCACAGGTAGCGACGCCACAAACTGTGGATGGTGAGCGTTATGTCACATATCATCCTCATGGCTTGTTGCATCCCGCTGTTCTCTATGCTTGCTACTGCTACCGAATCGACCTGCGATTCCGTTCCCGCTTTTGCTAGCTTCGACAGATGTCGTCTGACAGTCCAGTCTATGTCGCGATAACGATCAGGCTGTACACACTGCCGATACCCACATCTCCTTTCACATCGACCACAACGTACTTCGACGCATGATTGCATCGCCTCTGATCATCTGTTACACTTCTCAAGTGCAGCATAGATAGTCGGTATACCGTACCCGATGTTTGCCATCGCTGATGTCTGTCCTCGAAATGTTGTCCGTCACCAGCATCGTACCTGGAAGCACGGCACTGCGGCAGCGTCTTTCGTACTCTGTAGTCGCGGAGATAAGTGATAAGACGATGCACAACGTGTCCGCGGAGCTGGTAGGAGCAGATGTGAGTCTAGCAGATGATTAGGCAGCGAGGTGATGTAGCGGAGCTGCATAGCTCTTTAGCCAGAGGAAGACTTTAGGCTGGAAGCCTCTTAGTTCTAGAGAACTAAATTGAGTTAAGGCTAAAAGCCACTTAGTTCTAAGGAACTAATTAAACGACTTAAAGTCACCCTGTTCTAAGGAACGAGGAAACAGACTTTAGTCAGTCAAGCAATAAGCTTAAGGTTCAGAGAACCAACGCACAGAGTGCAAGAACAAGCTAGAAGCTTAAAGGTTCAGGGAACCAACGCACGAAGTGCACAAGAGAACAGGTCAGAACGACTTGTGGTCTTAAACTCAAAAGAAGAACTGATTCTATTTACGCTTTAAGATTTTATGAATAGTCCTACTCTAAGTACACTACACTAGATTAATTACTATAATAGTAATTATTATATGCAGACTTTGCTATTAGACGGTGTATCGTCCAGACATCCGTGTATGATGTACTTAATACAGCGTTAGTGATTTATCGAATCCCAATCGATAAGATACGGTATTACCGAATACCATATCTTAACGCTAATACTTAATACCTCTAAAAGAGAAATATAATAATGCATTTCATGCAATACAAAAGGAGAGTTTAACCGTAAACTCTCTGAAAGACGCTACCACCGTCGTGTAACCCCGTTACACCCTCCCCCACCAGACTGACATTCCCATAGAATTTCACTCGTCATTTATCCTCGTAGAGGTAGTGCTTTAGCGAACGCTTTTAAACCTCACGGTTTGTTCACGGCACATAGCATGACGCCTCCTGGTAATGAGTCAAAGACTCTTCGGGACCTCATTGAAAACAACCTTGACGAAGCGGTTGATTACGAAAGTGACACCGTCTTTGTGGGACCCGATGGGTCCCCTTTAGCCACCCTCACGGGTGAAGATGACAGTCTTCATGCACCGAATCCGTTCCCGGAGCGTGGTGCTGCAGATGCGCTAACAGCGTTACGTGACCCGCCTGAAGTGTCATCAACGGTAATGGTTACCAACCCACTCGACGAGCAGCAACAGCAGACTATCGACAAGAGGAAGGCGCCAAGCGCCGGACGAAGAATATAGCGAGACTTCAGGACCACCGACAGTACCGGTTCAAGCCACCTACGGTGGAAGAGCGCCTAAAGGAAGCATCTGGGCATTACCTTTCTGGCTGGACCATTGGGCCTGAGGCCATTTCGCCTGAGGATGTTGCCACGCGCACGGCACTTCAAAAACGATATCTGGAACCCCACATTACTACCCAAAGCCAATACTTGGCACGCATTAACAGGCAAGTGCGCGGTGCGCCAGTTCCTCCCATGAAGGGTGTTCCCATCCTTCTGTTCGCGGGGGAAACCGAGGACGAAGAAGACACGGCTTTCAGCCGCTGGGCGCATTATGCGCGACGTTTATGCAGCATGTGGGCCCTACGGGCAAGTGCCGATGTGGCAGATGTTCGACTCGAGCGACAGATGCGTTACGATTACGCTAAATTGAAGACCCGGGGAAAATTGAAATCCCAACGAACGCATTATGCGTCTGCTACCCAGCATCCCAATGTATCGGATACACCTGTAGCCGCGAGTCCACGACAGGCCGAGGCCGTTAACTCGCCTATCCCCACCACT